CCCCACCCCGCCTCGCTCGGCCCCGCGCGGAACCTATCAGGTACATTAGCCGCAACACGCCATGTCACGAATTAAAATGTGCAGTCGTGGTCGCCGCCCGGCCACCTTTCTTACTTTTTGGTGTGTGACTCAATACCACTAGTGAACGAGGCAATCTTTATCTGGCGGCATGGTGTTTTTTTCCCCCTCGTCGTGATGCATAAGTATTGTCTCACAACGAGGCGCGCAACACGGGTGCGGTGGGGTGTGGTGGGGTGGGGCGTGGTGGGGCCTAAGGCATCAACGCCCCGCCCCCCTCTCCCCTTTTGGCGGTACCCCGCGATGCGCTTGCGGGGCTTCTCTCGGCCGCGGTGCATCGTTGTGAGTCACGTGCCTCGGGCCACTGACAACACTCTCCTCGACCCTCCCCCTCCCCTTCCCCCTCTTCAACATATCGGCTGACTAGGATTTCCTGTCCACGTCACCAAAACAACGTGATGGGGAGGAGCACATCTGCTGCGCACCCTTTCACCATGACAAAAGTCCTTTTCGCCAAATAATGGGATGATTGATTTGCTGCTATTTATTTCGCAAGGCTATGTGTTTCGCACCAGTCACCTAACCTACTGCCTGCAATCACACACGGAGCTCGACGCAAGACTAGGCCTGATTAGATCTCTTGTTAGACAACACGAGCTTCGCGTTTCCGTAAAGAAACAATGACCGCTCGGCGGCCACTTACTTTCTGTACACCTTGACACGGAGGCCGCCGCCGCGACCCGAGCGTCCGCCCCCGCCCCAACCGGTCGCGCGACCCCGGCCCGGCCCGACCCCGCCCGACCCGGCCCGACCCAACCCTAGGTGGCACCAGGTGGCCGCAGCGGGGCACGGACCAGCCGGCTATGCTAGTGTGATTTACCTTGACTTTGTCCCCACTTCCCTTGACCACAAAGTACAATTTGTGCCCTTGACCTCGCGCAGCCTCGCTCGGCCTCTGGTGGCCCCAGGTGGCCCTAGGTTTCCCAAGGTGGCCCTAGGTTTCCCTAGGTGGCCCCAGGTACCCGCAGCGGGATGGAAGTCGCTAGTGTGACTTTTCTTGACTTTTTCTCCACTTCCCTTGACCCTTCGCGGCCCCAGCTAGTTCCACTGGCCCCAGGTGGCCGCAGTCAGTAGGGCGGACCGGTGCGGAGGATAGCTTTAGTGTGACTTACCTTGACTTTGTCCCCACTTCCCTTGACCCCGCAGCAGCTTCATCGCTCCAACCGACAGAGACGACAAAGCCAAGCCGTTGCATCACTGCCTGCCCGGCGCCTCGCTGGTGTGGTGGGGTGGGGTGGGGTGTTCCACCGGTGCCCCCCTCACTGGAGCCAGCCTCATCACTGGCTGCACAGCGGAGCGGAGCGGCGAGGGTGCGCGGGCCGTGCTGCAGGTGGCTGAGGTGCTATACTCAAAGGCGCGCCAGTACGGCCCCGCGGACACGCACAGTGGCCAGCACTGTCAAGGTGAATAGGCTACTACTGCGGACCCCACGGCCCCGCCTCGCCCCGCCCCCGTCACGGCACCGCGCGCCGATTCGCGCCAGCTCGACCGCGCCGGGAGAAAAGGCAGACGACAAAAGCGGTGGCGGTCTTGGTCTCGGGTTCCGCCCAGTCCCGCCCCCTTGCTCCCCGTTGGCCCTGCTCATGACCCTCTTGTTTTCGTCCGCAGGCGTGGAGCGGCTGGTGGCGCGCTGGGCGCCGCTGGTCTGGCTGTCTCCCGGGGAGCGCTTCATGCCGGCCGGCGTCGAGGACTTCCTGCAGCACGTCACCCCCGTCACCCCGGTCGTCAGTAAGAAGCAGCGCGCCAGGACGGCGACGGCGGCCGGCCTCGGCGGCAGCAGGGCGAGGCGCGGTGGCAGCAGCGGCAGCAGCAGGACGTCGACGACGGCCGCCCGGGTGGGCAGGGCCGCCGCCGCCGCCGCCCCGGGCTCACCCCAGGGCCCACCCCAGGGTCTGCCCCAGGGCCCGCGCTCCGCCGCCTGGTACCTCGTCAGCAACGCCAGCGTGGGTGAGTCACCCGGTGCGCTGCCAATGGCCCCGACGCGCGCCTCGAAGCGCCTGGCCAGGTCGCCGTAGGCCAGCCCGCACCACACGCGCGCCGTGCGGGCCGGCCTACGCTCGGGCGCTCTCGGCGGGCCGGCGGCCTACCTCGCACCTCTCCCCAGGGCGTATGCGCCGCCTTCACACCTCCTTTCTCTCTCTCCCGGCCGCCGCAGACGAGCTGCTGAGCAACTCGTCGTCCTTCCTGTACGGCCGCGACCCGAGCCGCCTGCCCGTGCCCGTCTACGCCGTGGTCACGCTCTGCGACGAGGCCCGACTCCGACCCAAGCTGGACCCCGCGCTGGACCGAGACGACGGGTGAGTAAAAGTGTGTCGGGTCGTCGCGGTGCACCGGGCGGTCCCACCTGGCTTCAGCGTAGAGACTTTAGAGTCGGAATTTCCCCCTGAACAGGGTTGGAAGCCCTGGAAAGTATCCGAAAAATTTCTGGAAAAAACGTAAAATTTCCGGGAAAAAACGAAAAATTTCCCAGATTTTGGGAAAGTTTTCAGTTATTTTCCGCATATTTTTGGAAAGTTTCCAAATTTCCAACCCTACCTCTGAAAAATTTGGAAACTTTTCCAGAAAGAAATGGAAAAAGTCAAATACATTTCCAGAAAGTTGTGGAAATGTTAAAACTTCTCAAGGAAAATTATGCCTATTTTTCAATCCTGAAACTTGTCCAAAAACGATTTTCTGGGAAATTAAAATCCCTACCCTACTCCAGGGCGCCGCCGCCGGTGCACCCTCGTGACCTACTACTGGGGATGTTTTTGGGGCGAGGCGCGCAGGACAGTGCCGCCGTCGCGGCCTATCGTCCTGCATTCGAAAGAGAAAGGCCGAATCAGTCGAAGAGAATGAAAGGGGGGGGGGCGCTACAAGTGTCACTACGCCGTTTCCTCTCATTCTGCTTTCCGCTTCGTCCGGACGACTTGACGACGGCCAACTACTTACATGACAGCCAATATACCCGACATGACGAGCGTGTTGACAGAAAATAGTGTTGACGGGCGTCCGGGAATGCCTCAACGACACGGGGCGCCGCCACCCACTCGACCACTCACGGCGCTCACCACATTCATGCGCAAGCCTTTCCATTTCGAATCTGCCCCCCCCCCCT